CCCCCCTGTCCCCCCAGGGCCTCAGTTTCCACCTGGCCGCTGTCCTGCTCTCCCTGGGCCTCATCACCTACGCCGAGCACGGTCAGCGCTGGCCCTTTAAGGGGCGGGGCCAGGGGAGGGGTGGGACTGAATGGGGTCCTCTGAGGTGGGAGGGGCTTAAAGGGTGGGGGGTGCGAAGTGGGTGGAGCTGCCAAGGTGGGCGTGGCCTAAAGGTGTAGGTGGGTCCCGATGTGGGTGGGGTTTCAGGGATGTAATTGAGAGGGAAATGTGGGCGGGGCTTGAGCAGAGTGGGTGGGGCCAGGAGTAGGGGTGTGGCCTGCAAGTGTGGGTGGGGCTATGGGATGTGGGTGGAGCCTGCACTGAGGGGCGGGGCTATGGGGTGTGGGTGGAGCCTGCAGTGAGGGGCGGGGCTATGGACTGGGTGGAGCCTGCAGTGAAGGGCGGGTCTATGGGGTGTGGGTGGAGCCTGCGGCGAGGGGCGGGGCTATGGGGTGTGGGTGGAGCCTGCAGTGAGGGGCGGGGCTATGGGGTGTGGGTGGAGCCTGCAGTGAGGGGCGGGGCTATGGGGTGTGGGTGGAGCCTGCAGTGATGGGAGGGGCTATGGCGGTGTGGGTGGAGCCTGCAGTGAAGGGCGGGGCTGTGGGTGGAGTCTGCAGTGATTGGCTGGGTTGTGATGGGTGTGTCCTGCAATGGGCGTGGCCCGCACTGACCCCGCCCTGCCCTCCCAGCCCTGAGGCAGCGCCTGGCCGCCATCTTTGACGCCTGTGTCCTGTCCAAGCGCTGCCCCCCCCAGTGCAGCCACCGCCACAAGAACGTGAGATGGGGGCACTGGGGGGGTCACTGGGGGAGGGAGGACGCTGAATTTTGGGGTGCCCTGGCGAGTGTGGGGCGGCTCACAGGGGTTGGGGATCCCAGGGTGGTCTCTGGGATGGTTTGGAGGTGATAGGTGGAAAAACGGGGGTGCAGAGGGCAGGATGGGGCTTGGGGGCCCCAGGGGGAGGGCAGAGGGTTTGGGGCTCTGAAGGGGTTTGGGGGAGGGCTGGGGATCCCTGGGGGTACGGAAGGGGATTCCGGCGTCCTGTAGGCGCTGTGGGTGCCAGCACTCAATGGGGGGATTTGGGGTTCCTTGGGGTCTCTGAAGGGGTCTGGGGTCCCCACAGAGGCTGTGGGTGCACGTGGTGAACACGGGGGATTTGGAGGATCTCTGCAGGCGTTTAGGGGGGTCCCTGAAGGTTTCTGGGGTCCCTGCAGGCGCTGTGGGTGCGGGCGCTGAATGGGGCCCTGGGCGCCCTGGCCCTTTTCCACCTGTCCTACCTGGGTGCCCTGTTCGACGTGGAGGCCGAGGACACCGTGGAGGAGCAGGTGGGATCCCCGAGCCCTCACAGACCCTCCCCAAGGTTTGGGGCCGCCCCCAGTGTTGGAAGGACCCCGACGCCATTTTGTCCCCTCAGGGCTACGGGATGGCCTATACGGTGCGCAAGTGGTCGGAGCTGAACTGGGCCAGTCACTGGGTGACGCTGGGCTGCTGGGTGCTGGCCCGGCTGCTGCGCTGAGGCTCTGGGAGGGCACTGGGAGCGACCGGGGGAACTGGGAGCACCGGGAGGAACGGGGGGCAGCTGGGAGGACCGGGCGCCACAGAAAGAGCGGCCGCTCCGCCTCACGGGGCCGCTCCGCGCTACCGGAAGCGCCTCTCGATGATCCCGACTTCCGCTTCGTGGTGTTTCCCGCCCTTTCCCGGGCGGAAGTGTCGCGCGACCGCTCTGGGACCAATAAAGCCTCGCCTCGGTGGTTCCTGTCAATCATTCCCGAGAGGCCAATAGGGCGCGAGGGGCGGGGCCGCGCGGCGCATGCGCGGAGCTGTTACAGGGGATGGCGCCCCCTGCGGATGGCGCAGAGCCAACGCTTTGACCAAAATCGTCTTAATTGACACGAAAAGCGCGCGGCGGGGCCCTATGGGCCCTACAGAGACCCGGGGGTACGAGCGGTCCCTATAGCCCCCAGGGGAGGGGGAGTGTCCATATGGCTGCTATAGGGTCCAGGAGTGGCCCCGAGTTCCCTATAGGGACAGGAAGGGAGGGATCCATATGGGCCCTATAGAGACCTGGGAGTGCGAGCGGTCCCTATAGCCCCCAGAGGGGGGGGAGTGGCCATATGGCCCCTATAGGGAGCAGGAGGGTCCATATGGCATCTAGAGGGAGCAGGGGGGTCCATATGGCCCCTATAGGGAGCAGGAGAGTCCATATGGCCCCTATAGGGAGCAGGGGGGTCCATATGGCCGCTATAGGGAGCAGGGGGGTCCATATGGCCCCTATAGGGAGCAGGAGGGTCCATATGGTCCCTAGAGAACCCCGGGGGGGGGCACAGAGTCCCTATAAGGCCTGCAGGGGGGAAGGGGAGGGTCCATATGGATTCTTTAGGGCCCTGGAAGGTCCCAGACAGGCCCCATAGGGCCCGGGGGGTCGCTCGGTGTCGTCAGGTGCCCTTGTCCTTGTTGGGAGACCTGCAAGAGAGAGAGACCCCGGGGCTGAGGGCCCTATGGACCCTGTATGGCCCTGGGAGGGTTCCCGATGGGTTCTATAGGGCTGGGGAGAACTCGGGTGGATCCTGTATGGCCCTGGGGGGTCCCTATGGATCCTATACAGCCGGGGGGGGGTCCGTAGAGCACCCAGGAGAGTCCTTATGGATCTTACATGGCGTGGGGGAGCCCCTGGGGATTCCATAGGGCCCCAGGCAGTTCGTGTGGATCCTACACAGCCTGAGCAGTCCCTATAGATCCTATCAGGCCCAGGGGGTCCCTATGGCTCCCCCCAGCCCGTGTTAGTGTGTTAGTGCCCCTCCCCAGCACGCGCCGTTAACCAAATCCGCCTTTATTAGCCCCAAACCTCGTTAAAAACGCGCCCGGCCCCTCCCCCCCTACAAAATCTGTACATCCGGCCCCTCCCCCACCGGGTGAGGGGGGCGGGGGGGGGGGGGGGGGACCCCAGCTGCTGGCAGGGGAGTGGGGGCCCCTGAGCCCCCCAGCCCGCACAGGTCACGAGTGGGGCAGAGCTCAGCCCCCCCCCCACCGGGGGGGGGGGGGGGGGGGGGGGGAGGGGAACCCCACAGAGGGGCCGGGGGTCCCAATGAGCCCCTCATTAACCCAGAGCTCCTTCATTGACCTCATTAACCTCTGACCTCATCAATCTCCACCTCGGGGTCCCCCAGCACCCAACAAGCCTTAATGAGCCTTAATGAGCCCCCACCAATTAATGAGTATTAACGAGCTCCCCACCAGCCCCTAACGAGCCTTAATGAGCCCCCACCAATTAATGAGTATTAACGAGCTCCCCACCAGCCCCTAACGAGCCTTAATGAGCCCCCCATGACCTAACGAACCTCTCCAGGTCCCTGATGAGCCTTCATGAACACCGAGATCGGGGTCCCCAGGGCCGAACGAACCCCACCAGCACCTTCACCACCTCCGAACGAGCCCTAATGAGCTCCCATGACCTAATGAACTTCTCCAGATCCCTAATGAGCCTAATGAGCCTTAAAGAGTCCCCACCACCTAAAGAAGGCCAAGATTGGGGTCCCTCATCTGCTGACCCCCCCAGCTCCTCCACCACCTTAATGACCTTAATGAGCCCCAATGAGCCCCCACCTGTTGACCCCACACCTGCTGATCCCACAGCTGGGTTCCTAAACCTGCTGACCCCACAGCTGGGTTCCTAAACCTGCTGGCCGCACATCTGGATCCCCGCAGCTGCTGACCCCACAGCTGGGTTCCTAAACCTGCTGACCCCACAGCTGGGTTCCTGTAACTGCTGGGCCCACAGCTGGATCCCCGCAGCTGCTGAGCCCCCCAGCTCCTCCACCACCACCTTAATGAGCCTTAATAAAGCCCTAACGAGCTCCCATCACCTGCCGGCCCCACACCTGGGTCCCCTCCCCCGCTCACGGCCCCCCCCCGTGCCCTCCCCCTCCCCGCTGGGTCACGGCCAGCCCCGGTGACCCCGGGCCGGCCCCGGGCTGTCCCCGTCCCTACGGCCCCACTGACTTGCCGCTGTCCTGGCTGCGGCCGCCGGCGCCGCGGGGCCGCCCGTAGAGCACGACGGCGGCCAGGACCATGGCGGTGCCGGCCAGGAAGGGCGCCCGCGGCCGGAAACCGAACAGGTGCGCGGAGGCGGCCGTGGAGGCCAGGATGGACAGCGCCGTGGCGAAGCCCTTGAGGATGTTGTCGGCGTAGCGAACCACCACGGCCACCAGCAGCCCCCCGGCCGCCTGGTTCACCACCACGGCCCACACGGCGCCGTTGTAGCCGTAGAAGAAGCCGAGCGCGGCCACGGCCGGGCCCTCGGCGGCCAGCATGGCGCCCAGCCCCACGGCCGTGCCCACGGCGCCCAGCTGCACGTTCCGCACCCAGATGGAGCCGCCCGAGCGCTTCAGCAGCCGCTCGAAGTAGACGCCGGCGAAGCCCGAGGACAGGCAGGACGCGGCCACGGCCGCCAGCCCCACGGCGTAGCTCTGGGCCGGCACCTCGGGCCCCGGGGACGGGCCCAGCGCCGCGGCCGAGGGCACGGCCCGAGCCTGCTCCGCCTGCACCAGCGCCACCCCCGCGAACAGCAGCGCCAGCGACAGCCACTGCAGCCGCGACAGCGCCGTGCCCAGCAGCAGCACCGAGAACAGCGCCGTGGTCAGGATCTTCAGCTGGTACGTCACCTGTGGGGACAGGGATTGTCACCTGGGAACAGGGACAGGGTCACCTGTGGGGACAGCGGGGACAGGGATGGTCACCTGGGGACGGGGACAGGGTCACCTGTGGGGACAGCGGGGACAGGGATGGTCACCTGGGGACGGGGACACATGGGGACACTGGGGACAGGATCACCTGGGGACAGGGTCACCTGCGGGGACAGCAGGGACAGCAGGGACAGGGTCACGTGCAGGATGGGGACACACTCACACAGGGACACATGGGGGACATGAACACCAAGGGACAAGATCACCTGCAGGGATAGGGTGACTTGGGGACAGGGACACCTGTGCGGACAGCAGGGACAGGAACCTGGGCACAGGTATGTCACCTGTGGGATAGCAGGGACAGGGACATCTGGGGACAGGGATGAGAACAGGGCGACAGAGCCACCTGCAGGACACAGGTGTGGGAACAGGTACGTGGGCACAGGGTCACAGGGACACCGTGACTGTCACAGAGAATGGGCACAGGGACACCACCACAGTCCCCAAGGTCCCCGAGGTCATCACACTCCCCTGTGTGTCCCCGTGTCCCACCTGGAAGGTGGCCGCGGGCAGGTTGGAGATGGCCACGTACTGCAGGTTGTTCTGCAGGGTGTAGATGAGGGAGGGGACAGCCAGGCGCAGCGTGTCCCCAAACTGTCCCACCACGGCCTCGTGCAGCGTCACCGCCGTCTGCCGGACACTGCCTGGGGGGACAGGGCTCAGGGACAGGGGACACTCCACCACTGTCACCCTCGGGGTCCCCACCATGAGCGTCCCATGTCCCCTTGTGTCCCCAGCATGAGACCCTCACGTCCCCTCGTGTCCCCCACATCCGTGCCAAGGACCCCTCTGTGTCCCCATCCCCCCAGCCCGTGCTCACCTCAGAGCTGGAAGAGGAGGCAGCACCAGGTGTGTCCCTGTCCCCCCATGTCCATAATGTCTCCGTGTCCCCCCCATGTCCCCAGCGTCCCCTGTGCCTACCCCGGTGCTGGATGAGCAGCAGCAGCAGGCACAGACCGTGTCCCCCCCATGTCCCCAGCGTCTCCTGTGCCTACCCCGGTGCTGGATGAGCAGCAGCAGCAGGCACAGACCGTGTCCCCCCCATGTCCCCAGCGTCTCCTGTGCCTACCCCGGTGCTGGATGAGCAGCAGCAGCAGGCACAGACCGTGTCCCCCCCATGTCCCCAGCGTCTCCTGTGCCTACCCCGGTGCTGGATGAGCAGCAGCAGCAGGCACAGACCGTGTCCCCCCCATGTCCCCAGCGTCCCCTGTGCCTACCCCGGTGCTGGATGAGCAGCAGCAGCAGGCAGGCGCTGCCCTTCATGGCCTCGGCCATCACCACGGCCGTGGTGGGCAGGAAGCGCTCCCCGGGCAGGGTCCGCACGTAGCGGATGCTGAGCACGAGGGACGCGTTCTGCAGCACCAGCACGCCCAGGCTGGCGTACTTCACCCGCCGCGACACTGCGGGGACACCGGCCTGTCACCGGGGGGAGGGGGACGACGACACCGGGCCGAGCCCCCCGCGACCCCGGAACCCCGGTGCGGGGAACTTCACCCGCCGGGACACCGGGGGTGCCTTGGGGTCGCACGGCGGGATCCCCCCTCACTGCCCCCGGAGCTCCCCGAATCTGCCCCACAGCCCCGCCCGCCCAAGGCCCCTCTGCCACCTCTGCCCCGCGCCCCCCGCCCTCCATGGGCGCCCCTCTGCTCTGCTCCATCGCCCCCCGGCCACCGGATCCCCTGGACCCCCAGAGCCCCCCACAGACCTCCGGCCGGATCCCCCGCCCCGCAGCCCCCACACGGCTCTGCCCGGGCCTCCCCGCCCCGCAGCCACTCCCTGGTGTCCCCGTCCGTCCCCCCCTCACCCGTCGCGGGCCCCGCGGAGTCGCCGGAGCCGCCGCCGTCCGCCGTCGCCGGGGCCGCCATGGTGGCACCTGCCCAACACTTCCGCTTCCGGCCACGCTGCGGCCACGCCCAGCGAGGGGCAGCGGCTCCGCCTCTGTTGGCTCCGGCCAATCCCCGCGCGCACTTTCGCGAGGCGTCCCGCCCCCTCGGCCGGTCTGACCAATCAGCGCTCGCCTCGCTCGCTTCCCGCCACCGTCTCTCGCTGTTCCAGCCTCTCTTCCCCGTAAGCCACGCCCCTTCGGCCTCAGACCAATCACCGTTCTCCTCACCTGTCACACCCCCTCAGGCTCCGCCCAGATCCCCACTGCCTCCTCCCTTCGAAACCCACCAATCCCCGCCCGTGTTCCTCAGACGTTGCCCAATCAGCGCCCGTCGGGGGCAGCGCCGCAGCCAATCAGAGGCGGCGGCGCTCGGCGGGCCGGTGCATTCCAAGATGGCGGCGGTGCCGGGCGGGTCGCGGCGCTTCGACCCCGCGGCGCTGGGCCTGGACCCGTCCTGGCGCCTCACGGCCTACGGGGAGCTGCGCGGCTGAGGCTGCAAAGTCCCGCAGGAGACGCTGCTCAAGCTCCTGGCGGGACTCGAGGGACAGCGCCCGGGAGGAGGAGGCGGAGGGGAAGGGGCGGAAGCGGAGAGCGGCGGGGCCCCGGCACTGGGTGAGAGTGGGGAGATCCCGGGGGTCCCGGGAGGGCTCCAGGGGCTGTGGGGGTGGCTCAGAGATGCGGCTGAGGAGGCCTCAGAGGGCTCGGGGGAACCCTCCGAGAGGGCGCTGGGGGTCTCGAGGGGCTTGTGGGGACCCAGGGGAAGGACGGGAGGGCTCTGGGAGGGCTCACGGACATGGCGTGGGGGCTGAGGGGCCTCCAGGGAGTCTGGAGGGCGCAGGACAGACCGGGGGGGCTCAGGGACATGGCGGGGGAACGGGGCAAA